CAGTGCCGCGCGCGCCGCGTGTGCTGACTCCGGCTACGTCGTGCTTAAAGTGTATGTACACTCAAGCTTCGTGGGATGCAGTATGCGTGGCTGCGTACTTGAATAGAACGTGGGGCTGCTAACGCTGTTGTGAGGTATTTACAGCTGTAATCATGTCTTTGTCCAACACCGAACAAGATAATAGTTGTCTCAAAGTGAAATATCCCGCGATTAACCCATCCTCAAATGTCACGCCTACTCCGTCTCATGGATAAGTAGTGTATATGTGCACACTGGGGCAGGAGGTGGTGTAGTGACAAGTGGCGCGCTCACCACTCGCGCGGTCCTGGGTTCGAATCCCGGGTCGACTCCCGCCCAGGCCAACCAAGCCTTCTACCCCCGGGGACGGTAAATTGGTACCAGATTCGTCTGGGAGGATAAAACACTGACTTGTACATCGGCTGGCCCCGCAAGTCATTGTATAGGCCACATCGCATTCAATAAGCCACTACGATTCTGAATGGAAGTAGAATGCGTGCCGCATCCCACAAAGGGATTGATCAACGGCGAAGACTTTATCCTTTATCCTTTATGTTCACACTGCATCCATAGTAAGGGCTAATACACGCTAACACGGAAGCTTTGAAGATTATACTTGTGCCTTCGTACTCGCTCAATTCTATTGACTGGCGACCGTTTACTTGAAATTCAGCTCAATCTCTGAATCGCTGATCTTCATTGTTCTGGGTGTAATGCTAGTGAACGAGCAGGAATGGTTCTGGAGCGATTGGCATCCGATGTTCTCCTTATATTCTGTTGTTCTTTGTATTGGAGTACGATTTCTAGGTAAGCTTTCCGAGGAACAGGCGATTCATCTTGAATGTCGAATACGCCATTGGTGTATTCTGGAGCCCTCGGAAAGCCTTCGGACTGACTTTAACTAAATGCTACGCTTTCAGTGGTATTTTTCCTCACTTATATTGTAAATAGATTCACTGGTGGTGTTCGTCACATCTCAGCTCAAGAGCAATTTATTATGGTAAGAGATTTTTTGTTTTCTTCTTTCAGGCTAGATTCTATCCCTCTTCGAATACAAAGTAGGAGTCGATAGAGCCCTAGTAGGCGCCGATTTCGTGGTTTGCTACAGCGTCCACCAGCGACCACTAGCGTTCCGAGCGTCCAGCAGCGTCAGCGACTAGGAAAGTTTAGATATCGTTCAGCGTCTGGCAGCGTCCACAGCGTCCAGTAGCGTTCACCAGAACCAGGGAGTAGAGAGTATGGGGAAGTGGGAGGATAGCAAACAGCTGGATTAGGCGTCGTGAAATAGCGGCGTGTGTCTTTACTCCGGGTATGTGACAAGGAGGATCGTAATTCGCCGCGCTGTGGGCGCCGCGTGCGACGTCGCGCCCGCAAATGACGATGGTTCCAGGTAGTAGATGGCGACAAGAGGCGTACTG